AGGCCAGCCTGGGCAAGATAAGAAGACACTGTCTTTACAAAAAATAAAAAAAATTATCCAGGCATGGTGGTACATGCCTGTGGTCCTAGCTACTTGGGAGGCTGAGGCAGGAGTATTGCTTGAGCCCAGGAGGTTGAAACTGCAGTGAGCCATGATTCTGCCACTGTGATCCAGCCTGGGCAACAAAGTGAGACGCTGTCTCTACCAAAAAAGTGAGTACAAAACTGAAAATGAATACTACAGCACAAAGCAAGTAGAAGGCAACCTAGGAAAAGTTGCGTTCCTGCCATACTGCATACAGCACTTCACTCCATTTCCTTTCCCTGTTGACAATAATCACCAGGAATCCTAGGGGTGACAAGATGCCGTGGCTTCCTCAGATTAAAATTCTCAGTGTCATTAACAGAGGTGGCTTCACCTCCTTCTGCCAGCAGGATTGTACAGATCCATTATGAGCAAACAGAACAAGGGCCTGGAGAATGCAGGGCTTGGGAAAAAGGACCCAGTTGTCACCTTCCATGTAAGTCTCATTGTGACAGGTGGCAAGGTGGGCAGCCTTGTAAGATGCTCCCCACCAATGCCCTCCCCTGAGGATAGGCTGGAACTAGTGACTGGCACCGAACAGACAGAGTGCAGCGGTGATGAAGTTATGAGAGACTGCAGCTTTTGTCCTGCTCCGCTCTCTCCGGCTGTCCTTGCTTGTGTCCTTTGATGGAGACAGTTGCCATGTTGTGGGCTGCCCTGAAGACTACTCCGTAGCAAGACGAAGGGCAGAGGGCAGTCTTTAGCCAATAGCCATAAGAAACCAAGACCCTTGGCCTGACAGCCTGTGAGGAACTGACTCCTGCAACAGCTACATGAGTGAGCAGAGAAGCAGGCCCTCCCCCAGGGAAGCCTGGAACACACCTTCACTGCAGCCTGGAGGGACACTGCGCCCAGGACTCAGCTCAGCCATGCCCAGATTCCCGACCCACAGAAACTGTGATGAAATAGATGTGTGTTATTTTAAGTGGCTACGTTTTGGGGTAATTTGTTATGGCACATTAGAAAACTAATACACCTTGATAAATAATGTGCTTAAAGAGATAATAAATCACTACTTTTAAGTCTAAAAGGGCATTTGTAAATTATTTATATAGGATCGACTAAGCCAATGGAGGTTATATCAACTTCAAAAAGGAAAACCAGAATTTCAACATCTGGAACCACCGGGTGCAGTGGCTCATGCCTGTAATCCCAGCACTTTGGGAGGCTGAGGCAGGTGGATCATCTGAGGCCAGGAATTCGAGATCAGCTTGGATAACATGGTGAAACGAAACCCCATCTCTACTAAAAATACAAAAATTAGCCAGGTGTGGTGGCGCATGCCTGTAATCCCAGATACTCAGGAGGCTGAGGCAGGAGAATCGAACCTGGGAGGTGGTGGCTGCAGTGAGCCGAGATTGTACCACTGCACTCTAGCCTGGATGACAGAGTGAGAAGCTGTCTCAAAAAACAAACACACACACTCTCACACACACACACACACACACACACACACACACCCCAACCAAAAAAAAACAACAAAAAAAAGTGAGCTCTTGCTAGGTACAGTGGCTCTTGCTTATAATCCCCCCAGCACTTTGGGAGGCCATGGTGAGAGGATCACTTAAGCCCAGGAGTTCAAGATCAGCCTGAGCAACATAGGGAGACTGTCTCTACTAAGATTTTGAAAAAACAAAAAACTGAGCTCTCTCATTTACATGAAATGTTCAGAATAGGCAAATCTATAGAGACAGAAAGTAGATTCGTGGTTGCCATGCCAGATGAGAAGGAATGACTGCTGACAGGCAGCGACCGCTTTTTGGGGTGATAAAATGTCCTGGAATTAGATCATTGTGGTGGTTATGCAACCTTGTGAATGTACACTTTAAAATGGGACATTTTTATGGTTTCTGGATTTGATTTCAATTTAAAAAAAAATTAAATAAACTCTTATGGAAGGAAGCTAACACTTCCATTCCAACATCTCCCCAAATAGTTATGCTCCATTCCCGCACACAAGATGATAGACTGGCACTGATCGAAGGGGACACATAAATGATGGCGTGACATTGGCCTGATGATACAGCTCAGATCTCACTCCAGGTTTGTTTGGGGGTTTCTGCATTGCATCTTTCCAGGAAAATTGCTAGCAAAAGTCCTCCCCCAGTAAATACGTTTGTCTTTTTCAATGTTTTTGTTGTTACAGATGTTAGATTCCTGTTCTTAAGACTTAAAGGACCGGACGTGGTGGCTCACCCCTGTAATCCCAGCACTTTGGGAGGCGGAGGCAGGTGGATCACCTGAGGTCAGGAGTTCCAGACCAGCCTGGCCAACATGGTGAAACCCCATCTCTACTAAAAATACAAAAATTAGCCAGGTGTAGTGGCACATACCTGTAATCCTAGCTAGCTGGGAGGCTGAAGCACGAGAATTGTTTGAACCCGGGAGGCAGAGGTTGCAGTGAGCTGAGATTGCGCCACTGCACTCTAGCCTGGGCAAATAGAGTGAGACTCTGTCTCTAAATAAATAAATAAAAATTTTTAAAAAGACTTAAGACAATTTTTACCTTATTTCACAATACTTAATTGGCCACTCCTTGCTATGAGCTACAAGGTAAGAAAACTTATCAAACAAAACATTTACAGAGGAAGACATATTTTCAAAATCGAGATTTCATTTCAGCATCTTGTTGTTTTTCATTATTTAAAAAAATTATCATTATTATTCTTTTCTTTTCTGTTTTTTTCCTTTCTTTTCTTTTCTTTTGAGATGGAGTTTCGCTCTTGTCACCCAGGCCGGAGTGCAATGGCACGATCTCAGCTCACTGCAACTTCTGCCTCCCAGGTTCAAGCGAATTCTCTTACCTCAGCCTTCCTAGTAGCTAGGATTACAGGCATGCACCACCAAACCCAACAAATTTTTGTATTTTTAGTAGAGATGAGATTTCACCATGTTGGCCAGGCTGGTCTCAAACTCCTGACCAAAGGTGATCCACCCACCTCAGCCTCCCAAAATGTTGCAATTAAATGCATGAGCTACTGTGCCCGGCTATTATTATTTTCAAGACAGGGTCTCACTCTGTTGCCCAGCCTGGAGTGCAGTGGTGTGATCACAGCTCACTGCAGCCTCAAACTGCTGGGCTGAAGTGATCCTTCTGTCTCAGCCTCAAACTCCTGGGCTGAAGTGATCCTTCTGTCTCAGCCTCTCCAGCAGCTGGGAGTATAGGTGTGCACCACCACACCCAGCTTTGCTATTTATTTAAATGTCATTCCCCAACACATACCAGGAGTGACATATGCTTCCCATTATTACATAGCAAAACATACTCCATAGCCAGAAAAAATATTTATATGACATACGGCCTAGTATTCTAAATCAAGGCAGGATCTTCCAACACGAGCAGGAGGGAGAAGAAAACATTTACATTCTATAACATGATTATAAGAATTGAGATAGATGAAATGAAAAACAACATCTTTGAACAACTACAGTTGACAGAACAGCTTTCCCTTATTCCACTTGCTTTAAATAACTCATATCTGTAAACTTGAACACCAACTCTGGCTGATTGAACAGTCTTAATCCCTTGATTTTCCATACTGAACATCACCCAATATATAGTGAAGATCAAAGGCGACTTCTTCCACCAAGCTCTGTGTCCAGCTGTGTTTCTGAGGTCATACGTGTCCCCTCACGGACACCAGATCAGATACTTCGGTAGTCAGAGCCGCGGGCTACAAAGGCGGCAGCTTCCCATTCCACAGTGAAGAATGAAATTGTTCCAAAAAACCCAAATATCACCATGACCAGGAGTTGCCAGTGAAGGAGAAGGTAGTTGCTGTAGAAAAATGCCACGGCTGCGCAAATAGACTAAGAACAAACAAAACAAATCACAACAGGCACACCGGGGGCCACACTGAGCCACAATTAGCCCCTAGCCCCACTCCTATCCGGCCCCAAGGACACCTGGAACTGGCAGTGCTTTCTATTCTTTCTGCAACTAGGTATGACTTCCTCAGTCACTGACTCACAAACATGCACCATAAATTCCTGCTACAGTCCCTGGTATTTAAAACAGCATTTTGGCCAGGTGTGGTGGTTCATGCCACCCAACACTTTGGGAGGCCAAGGTGGGAGAAATGCTTGAACCCGGAAGTTCAAGACCAGCCTGCACAATATGGCAAGACCCCATCTCTATAAAATAAAATAAAATGAAAAAAAACAGCATTTTGTGGAAAATTGGAGTAACAAGAAAGTACAGAGTAAGAAATACACTTGTCTGTATTACGAGTGAATAGAATTCTGGTATCTAAGGAAGGAAATCTCTAATCAGGGCCATAGAGACCAGAACGTAAAATCTGTTACACAAAAAATCTTACTGCTCATTGCTTCCTAATTCTATTCAAAAATCCTTTTAAAGGATGTCCCCAACTTTTGTTTAAAAAACACAAGACAAAAGCAAAAAAAAAAAAAAAAAAAAAAAAAAAAAAAAAAAAAAAAAAAAAAAACACAATCTAGCCGGGGCGGTGGCTCATGTTTATAATCCCAGGACTTTGCAGGGCCCAAGCGGGCGGATCACTTGAGGCCAGTAGTTTACGACCAGCCTGGCCAAAATGGCGAAATCTCATCTCTACTAAAAATATAAAAACTTAGCTGAACGTGGTAGTGCATGCCTGTAATCCCAGCTACTTGGGAGGCAGAGATTGCACTGAGTCAAGATCGTGCTACTGCACTCCAGTCTGGACTATAGAGTGAGACTCTTTTTTTTTTTTTGAGACAGAGTCTCACTCTGTCGTCCAGGCTGAAGTGCTGAAGTGCAGTGGCACGATCTCAGCTCACTGCAAGCTCCGCCTCCTGGGTTCACACCATTCTCCTGCCTCAGCCATCTGAGTAGCTGGGACTACAGGCACGTGCCACCATGCCCGGCTAATTTTTTTTGTATTTTTAGTAGAGATGGGGTTTCCACCATTATTAGCCAGGATTGAGTTCTCAATCTTGTGACCTTGTGGATCTTGGCCCGCCTTGGCCCTCCCAAAGTGCTGGGATTACA